GAAGACCTTCACAACCTTATTGTTGCAAAGCATAATGATGGCATCGGTTACAGAAGAATGTCTAAACTTCTGAATGTTCCAGTGAGCACTTTTGGGGCCATAATTCGGAAGTGGAAAGAACATTATTTCACCTTAAACCGACCACGACCAGGTGCTCCTCYCAAGATTTCTGACAGAGGAGTGAAAAGAATTATCAGAAGAGTTGTCCAAGAGCCAAGGACCACTTGTGGAGAGCTTCAGAAAGGCCTGGAATTAGCAGGTACGATTGTTTCAAAGAAAACAATAAGTAATGCACTGAACCACCATGGCCTGTATGCACAATCACCACGCAAGACTCCACTGCTGAAGAAACTACATGTTGAAGCTCGTTTAAAGTTCATTTCTGGACATTTATGGATTGATTTCTTTGTATGTATGGATTACTTGGGTTGTAACCGACATCTGGTGAAAATTTCATGTCATTAGCACCTCTAGTAATATATTTACTTAGAAAAATGTTGACGTGTTCAATACTTATTTTACCCACTGTAGCAGAAGAAYAATAAATCTGATAATGTATGCCCTTTATCCCCAGAATATATTCAAACAAAACATAATTTACAAAACAATACTAAATTTAAAAAAATACGTAAAAACATCAACCCAAACCACAATTCAAAAAGCTTCACATTTTACTTTTCATATACCTTCAAAGAACTAGCTTTTATCTGTCTCAAATATATACTAAGAACTGGCATTTTTAAGATCATCCTCCAGATCATTCCACAATCCTTTACCCTGGATTAAAATACATCTTTCTCTCAAGCAAGTACGAAAATATGGCTTCACAAGCATTTCCATCCCCTTAAGATAAAAACAACAGTCTCTGTTAACAACATCCCTTTTCCGGTTGAGGTTTCCAGATGTAGTTGCTGTTCCATTTCATCAAAGGGGTTTGAATCACTCTTAGTTTTACCCCTACCCAGAGGCCCCCTACCAGGGGCTAATGTCCTAGACWATATAACTCCCTGGATCACGGGGGAACTAAAACCCCTCCACCACGTTAAGGTGGCAATTTTARGGTGATTCTTGGCACAAAGTTGAATTTGTTCTCAGTGTGAGTTGGACTCTGTCAGTGTTGTCTATTGTCTCTGATCCTGTTTGTAGTGTTTAAAAACAGGATCTCAAGGCAATGTTGTGGAGAGGAGGGTGTCTGGTTTGGGAACCACATACTCTTATTTTAAGTGGATGATGTGGTTCTTCTGGCGTATTCAGGCCAAGACCTTCAGCGTGCACTGAGGCGGTCTCAGCTGAGTGTGAAGTGGCTGGGATAAAAGTTTGTTTATACTTCATGCAAGATGTGTGGCTGCTGCCCAGGGATGACGTAATTGCGTGTCACTGACAGCATTCAGTGTTTATACTGGGAAAAGACGTGGGGGATACATTATAGTAATCCCTCCCTCTGCCCTCCCACCGCAGACATCACGCACTAGCTTAGCATGTAAATAACTGCTAGTTGCTAAAAAAAACTTGCTAGTTGCGAGTTTAGCTTGTGCGGGAGATGGATGGTGAAAAACACTTCTCCTATTTTCAAATGTCCGTTGCTTGTTTCGAGGAATTTGCCCACCGGATCTTTTTTTTCCCTCACTGGATCTCCGCTCACCTTCAGCACGCACCGTCGCAGTATGGGACACAGATGGTTGTACCTCCGGACCGCCTCTGTGAGTTTCTCTTCAGAAACAAAAAACGGTTTCTGGTAGTGAGTAGCGGTGTCACACAGCACAAAATGCCCACAAACTTTGAACCAATCACACATTCCGCGCCGCATCCTCCGCATCCTCCGCATCTCGGAGTGCTGACTGGGGGCAATGTATAGGACAGCTGTCACCGGGGGATAGCAGCGGGAGTGCAGACAGAAGTTTCGCAACTTTTTTTCACTCAGCAGATGGTAAAAGACGTGTGATAAMAAGTATAAACCAGCCTTAAGAGTCAGTTCCTCTAAGTCTGAGCCAGAGAAGGATCGACGGATTGGGGCCTCATTCTCATTGATGAGGGCGTTCCTTCGGTCAGTTGTGGTGAAGAAAGAGCTGAATCAAAAGGCAAATCTKTCGATTTACTTACCTGCCTATGTTCTAACCTTCACCTATGGTCATGAGGGGTGGATCATGACCAAAAGAACAAGATCATGGATACAAGCAGCCAAAAATGAGCTTCCTGTGTAAGGTGGCTGGGATCATCTGTAAAGATATGATGAGGTGATCTGCCATCCAGGGGGAGCTCGGAGTAGAGCCGCTGCTTCTCTGTATCAAAAGAAGTCAGTTGAGGTAGTTTGGACATCTGATTAYAATGCCTCCTGGGTGTTTCACTTWAGAGGTGTTTCTGGCAAGTACCGCTTGGTAGGAGGCCCCGGGGGAAGACCCAGGTCTCTCAGGAGGTATTATGTATCGTCTCTGGTCTGGTAATACCTCAGGTCCCCCAGGACGAGCTGGAAAGTGTTYCTGGGGAGCAGGACGTCTGGGTTTCTCTCCTGGATCCATTTACTCCTTGACAAGACTATGAATAAGTGGTAGAAAATGGAGATGCTGGGACCAATCCTAAATGTGTGCTCCGAGGACCACACCTTGGTTAAGATATTTGCTTAAAACTTTATCATTAACTGTTAGCAAAATATCTCATGAACCACTGGATGGACTTAATGAAACTTTCAGAACATAATACTTGGATGAATATTTGTAATTGATGAATTTTTGGTTTCACCTCAATTTAAGATGGCTGCCACAGTTAATCAGCATAAGCCWACATTATGATCACTGTATCACAGTCAGTTTTARAGATATTGAGCMAAAATTTGATGTGATAGTACCRGAGAGTTATTCACAACGCTTACTATAAGTGTGGCATCTTCTATTGATTGTACATAACACCTTTTTTATGCATTCATTTAAGGAATGCAAATTTGTTTTTAAATAGTTMATTGTGATTTGATCCATCCCTGCTTTTTCATTCTCAACAACTCATTTCTGAGTAGAAAGAAAATAAAAATCTTGCTTCTGGCTCTCAAAAATTGGACAAAACATCTCAGACATGCTGCATATATTCATGTTGACCTGTTTATGATTCTTAGCTGCTAGTCTCCTCTGTTTGTAAATTCAACAAGTTGGCTTTTCTTTTTCAATATGTGCTTCACACTGTTTAGATACTTGGACTCTTGCTGGGACCTCACTCTATCTAATCACACTCTAGCTGTAGATTTTTAAAAACGTCTCCCTGAAGAGCCATCACGACAACCGTATTTGAGCTCCATGGAGCCTTTGGACATGCTGAGTTTATTTTGTTCCCTGAATCCCCCTCCCCCAAGCCTCGCTGTGTTTTTCTGAGTGTTGGCTTTGTGTGAAATAACAGAGTTAATTTGCTTCTGCTGAGGTGACAAACAATCCATCTTACACCCACCTCCTGGAAAACAAAAAAATACAACTTTGCAAAGTTCTGTCATTTGTTGTGAAGAGAACTGGATTAGATGATGTTTATAAGCTCAGAAGCTCTGCTTCGGGCTGCGACTTTAACCAGTTAGTAAGAGACACAAGCACAAAGAAACAATAAACTCCATCGGAACAGAAAGTTAGAGTAAACAAATAGATGATGAGAGACAAAGTTCATAATTTWGGCAAAATAGTATAAAGTTTTTAGTTCAAAAGGACTGAGTCAATGTAACACACAGAAGGGGAAAGCATTTTTGATTTGCTGTTTTTATAACATTTGTAGGCAAGCACAAGAGTAAAACATTTCTTGTAGTTTGTCACTAGAATTGCAGTTTGAGGGAGATTTTTGGCCCACTCCATCCATCCATCCATCCATCCATCCATCCATCCATGGTTACTGTTGTCTAAACTGCTTTCAGAGCATTAACAAACTTCTTCTGTGTAGCTGTGACTTGACATCTCATATTTACATGATCATCCTCACCACATGAGATTAAGTCTGAGGGACATTTTATAGTTCTTCCATTTCAACATAAGTACACCAACAGGTGTCGCCTTCTCACAGCCGTTCTTGCTAATGGTCTTAAAGYCCATTTCACCTTGTACAGATCTACTATCTTGCTCCTTTTGTTTAATGAGTGTGTTATGTCTGTCTGCCATGAAGAATGTGATTGTTGTGTTTTATAAGTCCATGTTGGCTGGGTACCTTAAGGTGTGTGACACAAAGAAAAATCTATAATCATCCATCATCTTGCGCCTTACATTCTTTGACAACTTTTTGGATTTACCTGTGGTGGTACAGAGGTTTGGAATGGTAGAAAGTGAATTGGTGGACAAATGTGCTTTAAGCACAAAATAAGTTGAAATCAGGAGTGTTTGTAGTTGTTTGATTGGCTGATTGTAATTTGTGTAACCAATCTGTGGGATTCAGGAATTTATCTGGGTTGTAGGGAATCAACCACTTATTTCAGTTAACACTCTGTCAGCCCTTTGTAAATCAATTTGTTACTATTATATAATTTATATTTTAGTTGATAATTTGTATTTCTATTGAAATGAAGCACCTATAAAAATTAGAGACTGCTTCATTCTTTGTTAGCAGGAAAATGTATAAAATCAGCATATCAAAAATGAAGTCCCCCACAGTAAGAGAATCAACTTATGTGTTCATGTTTATTTTTGGGTGTAATTCTTTTTTTTTCAAGACTAATATCATGTCTTATTCGATGTGGCCTTAATTTAAAAAAAATGAATATGTGTTGTTTATTCTTTCACAAATAATCTGTAAATTAAATTGATCTGATTCTCCAGTAACTTACATTTTTCTCTGATTAAACAAAAGCATGAAAAAGTTGTAACCTCACACTCAGGTTACTTTTTACAAAAGACAATTCAAATGCCATACCTGCTGGAAAAAGCTACATTTTTAAAATTGTTGAAAGAAAAAAAAACATTTTTAGGGAGGTTCTTGAACGTGTCAAGGTTGTTTTTTTATTATTATTATTATTATTTTTACAAATAGGAACTGTCTTTTTGTTGCAGGCTTGTCTGTGTTGCGGTCAAATGAAGACCAAGCCCCCGTCCTGCAGAATAAATCAATGGGTGACATTGAGGAGTTGGCGGCCAGCTATGAGCGCAAACTTATTGAGGTAAGTGTCGACTCAGTTTAAGCTTCAGTATTTACAAGTTATTAGAGTCATGCAGTATATAGTTGGAGCCATTAGGTGATCACTTAACTGACATTTGGCATTATTATGCCAAACAATGATAATAAATAAAAAAACAGATTGATTTTAGTGTAGTCTTTATTCAAAAAGACAACGGATGAACAAACCGTGCATCAACTGTGGAACTTCTTAGACAGTGGGGAAAAACCGCATCACAATTAGGATGAAGTCCATTAAATGGTGTTTTTAGGCATTGTCTTGTTAGTATTTTACTTCATAAACAGAGAAGGGACTCAGAGATTGACAACCGGGAACTTTATTTGAACAATCATGATTAGGCAACAATGGCTACGTTCACACTGCAGGCAAAATCAACCCAAATTCGATTTATTTATTTTTTGACCTATGCAACCCATATCTGATTTATTTTATGACAGTCTGAATGTGACAAATCCGACTTTTTCAAATCCAACCCAGCCCGTTTCAGTATGTGATAATCAGATACATATCAGAAGTTTTTCATAGCGACTGCAGRGTGAACGCTCTTGTCACATTCCACCCGATTTTTTCATCAGTGAGGTGGGGGTGAAGGACCCTAACCAAGTCACACTGTTTAAATCTGTAGCTCCATGTGTTTACAGGTCCAAAACAGTTGCTTCATCTTTTTACTTTTAATTTTCCATGTAGATAGTGATGTCCAGCCTCGGTCGCAGAGCGTATCGATCCTAAAGTTACTCAGTCGATACTTTATTTCAGCTCGTTGCTTCATTCCAAAAATAAAAAGTTTCACTGGAGCATCCCGGTCAGAGGCAGGTTCAGATATAAACACTGCACTAAACAAGCATCAGATAATTATTTAATCGGCTCTGATTAAACAACTTCAGATTCGACGTGCTAAAAGTAACATCCATGCTAACTCTGTAAATAAACAAGCCYGCTGAATGAGATGTKATGTCTTTTACTGCTCATGTGTCACATCAGTGCTGTGTAGKGTTCACACAGGAGTCTGATGGACGTTCACACCAAAAGATCAGATTTTTTCTAATAAATCAGAATTGAGCATTAAGACCTGCAGTGTGAATGTAGCCTATGATATATTTCTAAGGCAGTAGACAGAGTTAAAACAATGCTACATGAACAAGCCTGTTTTTATAACACTGGTAGACAATTTGACTACAAGCAGGTTGCTCTGAGGTACGCTGGTCTTAACTAACAAAAACATCAGTAACCATTACACTTTAGTTTCATTTGCAATCTTTTGCGTCAAGAACTAACATTTATACCCAAACAACTATGCCATACATCGTAGAAGCACTGGTAGAATAATTATCATGTTTAGAAGTACATAAACAACTCCCCTCACACACACATACACACGCACGCACAATGGATGACATCTGTGRAATTCTGTCCATGACCTAAATTATCCTTAAAACATGGCTAGATTGCGGCAAAATTAAAAAACCTCAAGGGCCTGATCTGCTAAGATCCCTAATAATGATAGCTAAGTTGCAGGTGCAAACTAAAGTATTGCCCATACTAGTGGCCCATACCACCATATTAGTGGGTGTGGTGCAGATGATCTACTAATATTGCTGCACAAATAACAGGTACAAAAGGGGTGTGGATCACCCCATTGAAAAGAGGATTTTGTGTTCTAGGAGATCAGAGCAGTCATAAAAAATAAACCATGAAGTTGGAGGTCTTGGTGGAGGAGGCAAATGTTCCAGGTGCAAGAAAATGAAGTGTTGCAAGGAGTTTTTCTTATATATGATATGGCATGACTTCTATTTGTGACTGGATCCAAATCTGCTCTTAGGTCCACCAGCAGCTCAAAAATGGCATTGTGGATAGACAACATGTCTCCACTATTTCTATTTCTTACAGTCCAAAAATTTTACACATGCACAGGACACTTTTGTTTGTAACTCTATACCTCCCTTGCAAATGTGCTAAATATAGATGCAAAAACAGCAACCTCTACCAGTTTCAGGTTTGACAAATTACATTGCAGGTGCTAAATATTTACATCTGCATATCCTCCTTCCAGTATTTTGCCTGTTTTGATAATCATCTTATATTCTGCATATTCTTGAAGGTAAACATGCTAAATGGATTGTCCACTATTTTGCTCATTTGACAGACGCATTCCTCGGTGCACACAGTTAGCGAATCAGTTTTGTTTGCGCTATGAGGTTTGCACGTGTTTTTACACATGCAAATCTTTAGTAGATCAGGTCGTAAGTGTGAATGCAACCATGATGCTGCTACGCGCTCAGTACTTGTGTTATCCTGCATTGTAGGGTTTATAACTACTGTTACACACCTAAACACCTRGTCAAGACCCCACAAACATCATCCATTTTCTGGCAGAATTTTGGTGTCAGAATTTACTGCTCCTTTAAACCCAGACCTTTTAAGAAGTCCCACATGGCACCTATATTTTTGTACACACTGCTGTAATTACACAATCCTTATTTGAAACAGTTTTGTTGCTTTTTGAGTGGAGAGAAAAACACACATTGAGCAAATGAATTTGTGGAAATTCTGACTTTGAGCTGTAAATAATCTAYGCTGGTCTGTGTACTCGCTAACCCAAAAGTACTCCTGGCTTTATCCTCTTTATGTAGAGTTAAAAATGTAGAAATAAATAATTAAGAACCAGTAAAGCAAAGCTGATGAAACAAACAGTATTTTGGGGGGTTGATACAGCTTGTAAAGAATTAGGTAAATGAAACATAAAGGTAAGCATCATTTTTTCCCCCCAAGTTTGTGCATACCGTTCTAACTTTTTCTGAGTTTGTGTTTGTGAAATGCTAAAATCTTGTTGTTTCTTTCTTTAAGGAGGAACTTTGCTCTTCCTTCTACTGTTCATTAAGTTTACTTTGCTGAGATCTTTTTATTTGCCTTTCATTCTCTGGATCATCTGCTGGTGCCAAAATCTCAAGTAAAGTTTTTTTGTTTATGACGTCTGCCAAATTTCAGTCTAAGGCCTTTTTCCTACTATAGTGTGTCAGATGTTCACTGTATATCTCATCAAAGTCCCCAAAGTGAGGTATGCCCAGATACTTAAAGAAAAGAAAAAAAAAGATTACTTTTTTATTTTCAAGTCTTCCAAGCTGRAAAGAGGAAAGTTCTTCCTAAGATCTTTTATAAACATAAAAATGCAGAGAAGTGAGTTTTCTGCAGCTCATTGATTTAAACCCAGCTACATTGCCAAGAGAGATTCCCTGAGCTGTTTCTTTACAGAAACATCAATTACAGCGGATGGGAAACCTTTCTAATAATTGGACATGGGCCTTAATGCAGCCTGCTGTGTGAGATTTAATGAGCATTGAGTCCAGTTTCCTGTTAGACTGACCAGTGAGGGTACTCTACCTTTAAACATGTATTCTGATGTGTGTATMTGTGTGGAAGGGGGTGCCATGAATAATTAAAACAAGGCTTTATATTTCTCTGATAATGAATAACTTTGTCTGTGTTTGCCCAAATGACTTATTCACTTATTTATGCTTGCGTCTGTACAGTGCATTTTTGATGATGTTTACTTATTTATTTGCTCATTTGCTCGGCTGTTTGATCATTTGATCAGACTTCCACGGCACACTGGGAGGACGGGGTTGAGAAACAGCCGTATGGCGATTCCTGGACAGGCGCATTGATGGTTTCATATTATTAATCCTATCAAGTATAACAAATACATTTTCCTGGCCACTGTTGCTTAATGAGTTGTGGAAATTGTATAAAATGCAATTGTGAGGCCCAAGCTTGCTTCCTGTTTGCCTAATGGATGCAAAAAGAGCAAACCACAGAGGAGCACATTTATGAGAGTTGTCACTTGAAGGACAGATGCAAGTTATTTTAAGTATAGTTGACCACTAACAAACTGCTTTATTCAGAGTGACTATAAATTTCATACAAAAAAAAAAATGACTGAAACCGGGTTATAAAAAAGTGTTTATGTTATGAGTTGTGTTTTTGCATTTGCCATATTTCATATATATGAGGCTTATTTGGATTCATAAATTCAGTGATTTAKACAAGCAGCCGTTAACTCTGCTGTTCCAACAGTCTCCCTTCAGCGACTGAGACGAAATCTGCCCGGCCACATTATTGATTTTAGAAAATGCCACATCAAGTCTTGTTAGATACATGCAGGCCTGGAAGAGACAAATAAATATTGGACTGGGCTCAGCTGCCTGCAATAACCTGGGAACTACGCCTGCAATTGTGACCCACTTAAGTTTTAATTTAATGTTGCTGATCCATGATATTGACTCTGAATTTGTTTACATTTTGAGCCAAAATCGCCAGATGTGCCGTGCTCTTTGCCTGCTGTATACTTGTCTTTATGTGTCAGGTCCAACTGTGCACAAGATGGAGAAAAGTCAAAGAACTTATACTGTATATGCTACCATACTTTAATGATGTTTATTTGTGTATGTATGTATGTATGTATGTATGTATGTATGTATGTATGTATGTATGTATGTTATGTATGTTATGTATGTTATGTATGTTATGTATGTATGTATG